CGTGCCCCCCCCCCCTCTTTACATATATTAAATAAAAAATAAAATCAAGATTTCCGTATTAGTAAAACTTATATATATATATAGGTATATATAACAAAAAAAAGATACGATAATAATAACCATAATCTTGATATCCAATTTAGCTCCAAAGTCACATATTTTGGTTATATTTTAAGACAAAACATATGATATGAAGAGGCTAATTAAAGAGGCAGAAACAAAGACATGCATGCATGGTAATAATGGCTCATTTCATACATCGTTCATGCATATTATATTACGTGGATTTATAACGGAATGCATGCATTCGTCATCGGAAGAACGAATCATCATTTTTCATCATCATGTCTCTTCTTCTTCTTCTTTTTTTTTTTCAATAAGCCAATTTATAGAAAAAAAAACTTTATATCTAAATTATCTTTTAGATGAATAGAGGTTACGGGACCAACCGATACTAAGTTATTTTAGTATGCGTCGACCCAAAAAGAGAAAAATACATTAGAAATCCCATGAAAATATGTACGTATAACCAAGGGTTAAGTACATATAAAATATCACATGCTAACGATTTATGGTCCAAACATTTGACGGAATATTTTTATGATATTTTAATAAATCACCAAAATTTCATCTTTTTAATATTACTACGCATGGATCATCGCGTAGACTGTCGAATCTAAAAATATATAGTTGAAATATTAATAATAGGATGAGAAAAATAGATTATATAGATTTGCTTATTAGAATCACACATAAGCTTTTAATAAAATTTTATGTAATATATCCAAGATTGGGTGGCTCAACCGGTAAGGAATAAAACAAAATTCTTTCTCAACTCGGGTTCGAATCTTCATTTATGGAGGAGTATTCACATGAGATTCTCCGGTTTTTTGGGAAAGGTGGGTTAAAGACCCGATAAATTTTCAGATTATCAAAAAATAAATAAATTATGTAATATTAATCTTACCTCACAACCAATCCGACCATAGTTGTGTCAAATATGGAGAAAATACCATAAAAAAAATCAAAGATGAAAAATAAACAAACCTATCATAACTGAACGAATACGAACCAAACCGAAACCAACCGGACCGGAAAAATAGCAATAATACCCTCCAATGTAAAAGAAGTTAGATGTTATGAAGGAATAATGTCTAACCAAATGTTTTCCAAATTGTAAACCAATACAATTTTAACTCAGAAATTGTTTTTTGGTATTTAGCTTTTGAATATATTCTTTGGAAATCTTCATTGTTCAAATATATGTGATGGACAGTTTATATACGTTATACATTAATGTTATTTGATTAATGAGTTATATTTTTAAAATATATTACATATACATGATTTACACTCTAATATATCTCTCCACACTGAAGTCAAACGTTATATGAATATATAAGCTATTTCATTTATAAAAAAAAACCTGAATGATTTAGAAAGTGAAACATAAAAGACACATTGTGAATGTCATTGATTTATATAGTATGTACTATGTATCTTTAAATATTTATTATATATCAATGAAACATAATTTAATATTGCAAATAAATTATACAGATTCACTCAATAACTTGAAAATCCCACAACCAGATTTTCATCATCGAACCTTTTTTGTTACTTTTTACAAATTTTAATTGCTTCATCTGTTCATCTCTATCAAATAATCAAATTTTAATTTTAAATTATATCATATAAAACATCCGTAATAATAAAAATAATAGTGGTAATATCAATAATCTATACAACCTTCACACACCATACCATAGTAGTACAGGTGAAAACCTGCAATTGTTTTTTTGGCTTACTTCTTTGACAGTGTAATTCATCGGGTTGAGCTTTGAATCTTCAGTAATTCCAAAAGGATTCATCAAGATCAAGAGGTCCTACAGAGGAAGACGGATCTTCTTGATGATCGAATTGCCTCCTCCCGAACTCGAAATCCGACGATATATCAGTGTTGATTTCAGTGGAAACACCGGTTTCTTGCGAAACACTCAACGTTTTGAAGCTGTGCCTTCCTCTGCTCTCGATCATCATCATCGCCCTTAGAACTGACTGCTCTTGCATCAGAACCGGGTTAGGGTTTTGCGGGTTTTCTGAAACCGGTATGGATCCAGTTTGGTGGAGTGAGATTCTAGGGAAAGTGCTGTTGTTGTTGTTGTGGATGGAGCTCAGGACATGGTTGCTGAAGCAACTGAGCGTGTTTCCTTGGTTTTCAGTTGGATTGGAGAAGCAGGGCACGTAGACCGGTTCGGTTTTGGTTTTTTCGGGCCAAGAATCGGTTAAGGGAGGTAAACCGGACGGATCTAAGCCGGTTCCGAACGAACCGATTCGGACAAGACCCAAGATCGGTATCTTCTTCCCTCCGGCACTCTTCTGGAAAATCCTGCATATCACCCATTCGTTCTGCAAGAACAAAAACCAAGCAGAACTCCATAACCAACACACAAATCAGACAGAACAAAAGCTTTAGGGGGGGTTACCTTAGCGGTTTTGGGCAAGTTATGGGCAGAGAGCTTGCCTTCAAGCCTATACTCATGCATCACCCAATTGGTTTTCTGACCTTTTGGAGCTCTTCCTCTGTAAAAAACAAGCGTTTTCTTCATCCCGACAAGCGATTTACCGCGGTAAATCTCCTTATCCTTCCCTGTCGCCTTCCAGTAACCGGCTTCAGTTGCTCGGTTTGTCCTCAGGCCGGTCGGGTACTTCCTGTCCCTCAAACAGAAAAAGTACCATTCTTTCTCTCCCATTTTTGCTTTCCCTCCCCAGAAATTTTCATCAGATTTCAATTCAGACATGAAATGTAAGAAAAGATTACGGTGTTTCAGGCAGCGTACATGGCAATTCCCATGGCTCAGATTTGTTCAGATCGACTTCACCAACTGCCTTGGCCGAGAAACCGCTGTCGAGAACCTTCTTGTGGAGATAGTGTGTTATGAGCTCCTCATCCGTTGGATGAAATCGGAACCCAGGAGGCAAATCCATCCGCTCTTCATCTTCCTTGTGAAATCCACAGAAATTTTCCATCTTTTGTCCAATAAAACCTTAAACCCCTAAGAAAACGAACGAAAATTTCGATCCGAAAACCTAAACCCCTGAAAACCCTTTGATCGAAAACCTCTTTCAATGAAAAGGGTATCTTGAATTGATCGAAAAGATTTGATCTTGAATGCTCAAGAGATGAATACAGAAAAGTGTATGTATATATTTATACATATAGGGGAGAGAGAGAGAGAGAGAGAGAGAGAATAAAGGTGAAGTTAGGGAGAAAAGATGGAAGATGGAGAAGGAAAATATAAAGGACAGAGCCAAATGGAACTCAAAAGGTGGAAACTTTGAAGGAATGGGGGAAATTGAAATATCTTTTTTTTTTAATTATGTAATTTACGTAAAAGAATATGTAATTAGATATAAAAAAAATCATAAAATTTCCCATTTTGTCAGGGGAGAAAGATACGTACTGTATAAGGCAACTTGGTTAGGTTGTTTTAGCACTTTCCGTTTTTAAAAACCTTTTTTTAAAAAAACATTATTGTAATTTAAACGAGAATTAAGAGAATTTCTTTTTGAGAAAATAGAAAAGACCAAGATGATAATGATTCTTTGAATCTAACACAATAACCATTAATTAATACTGTTGAAATTTAAAAAATGCAACGAATGGTGGATGAATTTATGGATGAAGTTATTATTATATCAGTTATAAAAAAAATACAAATAAAATCAGATGGTTTTGCATTTTTTAACTTTTATTAATAATTTCAACAGCTACATCTATATATTGGTGGTTTATGATTTGCATCTCAAATAATATGATTATCTATTTTCGTACGCAGCAAATATCCAATCCACGTACAAAGGAACAAGAACATTTGTTGTTTTCTTTTTGAATTTTGACTTCGGACATCAGAAATTGAAATTACTCAATTTACATATCTAGCTATTTCTCCACGTAATATTCAATTGATTTATTTTAAAAAATAAGAATAATTCGACGACTAATTACCGATTTGAATATTAAATTAGTATTATTTAGTTATTAATCAATTTTAAAATTTACACTCATTCTTTCCAGAAGTAGAATCAGGAAGGCTTCCATTGACAAATGATGTTTGTGCTGCTAATACTCTTATTGGCTCTTCAAGCTCACTGCCTTTATCTTTGTCAAACTTTCATTAAATTATTATTGGAGAATAAAATATGGTCGAAAAAAATATAAAAAAAATATTTACTCTTGTGACAAGTGACAACGTACTTCAAATAAAAACGGAGAGTCGTTTTGAAAAATACGAATTTTGTGAAACTTTTCAAAATAAATCTACAAACTTTGTAGTTTTTTTTAAAATAAAAATACACGAATTTTGAAAATATTATCATGTTAACTACATTAATCAGCCGTTAAATATACACATATACATATGCATACATATATAGATACACATACATATAGATACATACATACATATACATACGCACACATATATACATATATAAATTATACATATATATGTATCACGTATATGTTCACCTGAGCCTTCGGCCCAACCTACATCTCCCTGGGCCCGCGAGCAGCCTTTGAACATACAGCCTTTGGCTATGCCTCTCCCTCCCCGCATACCTGGATTCGAACCCCTGACCTGAAAGATGAACACCCTCACTTCCAGTCTAGGTACCACTCTAGGTACCACTCGACCACAGACATGTGGGTCATAATATGTATATTAATATATATGTTTATAAAAACTTATTTTTTTTTTTTTTTGGTAAAACTTATTTTTAATTTTGCTAATATGGACTGCATATATGCTATACTTTTCCATGTGACATATATTCGGTAATGACACATATTAGACTAATATGTAACGTCAACCGTCCCTATTAGATCGAATCTAGATCGAATCTTCGTTAATACATCTATGCTGGGAAATTACGATTATTCTTCAAAAACATACTTTTATATTTCGTTTAAATGATGATATTTCTATCTTATAGGTCTAATTAATCTTATATCTCATATATTGACTATTATATATTTCCAAAAGAGAAATTTGAAGTTGAATTTTATAAACGGAAAGAAAACAGGATTAATTGTTTCCGGAGGTGAAAACTCTTTGAAGCTTATTGTTTTGTCCCAATTCCAAATTTAAAGAGTTTATTAATCTTTTCAGTTTTTTCACTAATCAAATCCATTTCTTAAATAATCATAATTATGATAATGGTGTTATTTTGTTTAAGCATATCATCATCATGATGTAAATACCATTATCTGCCCATTTAAGGATCACAGACATTCTTTTAAAAAGATCACGGCGATCTATATTTATATATCTACACATATATATACATGTATACAGACACACCTATTCATGCAAATTATATAGAAAATTCATAGATTTGCTCTATTTATTGACACAAACTATAGAAAAAGAAAAACGAATTTATAGCATATTCCGCAAAGTTCTCAAAACAATATTTTTTTTATATAGTTTCAAAGCGCCTAATCCGGATAACGGTCCATTTACAGAAACCACATAAACTCAGTAAAATATAATATTATTTATATTCTGTGAATTTTTTTTTACATATGATATGTGAATTAATAAAAGGTCGTGGTGTTAATAAGATTTAGCTTTTCTAATCAAATGGAGGCTGACCAAAGAAGGGATCCAATCAGATTTGGTTCGTCAAATTAAATTTATTTCTAATTATAGAAAATGTTGTAAATTGGTAAGATAGCGACTAATATTTCTATTTTAGGAAACAAATCCAATAAAAGAAGTCCACGTGTCGACTGAATTAATAAAAATAAGTCCACGTGTCGCCTTAGTTCTCGACCCTCTCCGGTTGCTTGGCAACCTTAAATTTTAATATGTATCATAGTCAACGTGTCCAATCTGCCACGTCATTTTCACATAAGATATACAAAAGCCAGCTGTCGAATAGTGATTGGCCTCCGCGTGGACGTTATTATGACGTTGAGAAGAAGCCTGGATCAAACCATGGATGAGTTTAGTTAACCCGAGAGTTGACGCGTGAGCTCATTAGAGTGGGTTATACACGTGGCAGATTATGTATGGATGAGGGATTTGCTTTTAAGAAATTTAATTATTTTGTGCGCCGAATTTAAAAATAACTATAACAGCAATACGATAATTACCGAAATGGATTGTCCAGCCAGACATTCATTAGTAAACAAGGTCCACAGATTAATTAGAAAATTATTACGGATTAGAGGTTAATTATATATATATATATATATATATATATATATATTGTGTTCATACATTACTCGTCATGACATTCAATTTATTTTCTTGTTTAATACTACAAGCCGGGATTTGTTCGAGATTTCAGTTACTCATACGATGTCCCATGCACGTAAGAAATGCAACGTCTTAGCTTTAATCTCGAAATTAATAATTATAAAACGCTTAATCACATCATTAACTATATCTCTTCACAGTCTGCCAAGGCCTTAAATATATATATATATATATATACCCGGAAAATAACTGAATAAGATTATTACTAAAAGTGAATTATAATATATGGATTGGTTATGGATCCACTCCAATGGGCCGTTGGACCATATATCTACTGACAAAGACAAACCATAAACAAATTAATATGTACATTCATGCATTACTCAATCTATATAAAAGTTATTGCTATGAGACATATATATATATATATATATATATATATATATATTATAATGAGTCGGAGTAATGTGCTTTCGTGCATTTTTTTAAAAAAAAATTAAGTCGGAAAATATATATTAAGAAAATATATTATAGGCAATGGTTTTAGATCAATTCCTGTGGGCCGTTGGACCATATTTCCTGACAAGCCGGAGAACTTCAAAACCGTGGGCTGCGCAACACATAATATATGTAATCTCAATATTTTTTTGGATAATATATATATATATATATATATAATTTTAACATAACAGTCATTATTCTTCGGTCTATTGGATAGAATTACCTTAAAAAAGATCAATACATTTTTTCAATAATGGCTTTCGTAAAGGTAATAAGATTGATACGCAAATATAGCCGAGTGATAAAATTATGGATATCATCCCGGATAAAGATTCCTACGAAGCCGGGATCTCTCGTGAGAAATCTAATCCATGAGAAGAGATACAATATATATTAATTATAAAGGTTAAAATATTCATTAAATAATAATTAAAAAAACTTCATGATACTTTTCTATCCAATGAGAAAAACAGAAAAAGATCTCTCTATATACTATATTTATCCATTAGTTGAGAGAGAGAGAGAGTGGGGCCTTATCCAACGAGGAAAAGCCTCAAACACAGTCAGCTACACGTTTCACGCGACGACACGACAGCGAAATCGTTTCTTATATGACGATGATGATGATGGATGATGGATGATGGATGATGGATATGCGGAAAAGGAGGTAAACATTTGGCACGGATTCCGAAATAGAAATGGTTTTGGATAAATTCTAAGAATCCAGTTGGGAGGGGGCACTGGAAAGGTCAGGTCCCACCCAGTAAACTCTGGGTTTGGTTAATATATACACTTTCTTCCTTCGTCTTCAACCCATTGATTTTGTGGTCAAAGAACAACCAATTTCATTGTCCAAATTCTGCACTTTGTTTTCTTCGTTGTGAATGCGAATTCGGGTCTTCTTTGGTTTCTGCAATTTTCCCCAAGATTCCTTCGAGGGCTCGATTTTTCCTCCCTCCCAAACATAAATTTTGAATCTTGTGCCTTTTCCCGTTCATCTAGGTCAGGGTACAGAATTGGGTTTTGATTGGTTTCAGACGGCCATGGCTGCTTGTTCATCGCTGAGAACTGGGGGTGGAGTCGGTGTTCATGTTTATGGGGTTTTCCCGAGAACCAAACACGGGTTTTCTGGGTTTTGTCCAATTTCTCAGGAAAACAAATCAAAATCGAAACTTTTTCCGGTTTTGAACCTCGAGTTGAAGGAAGTCTCCGTCGATTCAACAGATTTCACCAACCAAGCCCGAAACGTGTTCCCGTCCCCTGTAAGTCCCTCTACGTTTATTTACTCCAATCCTTTCACTCCTGTCGTTCTCAGTCGCTTTTAAGATTGTGAAATAACTGTTAACATGTATATGGGTTGCAGGCGAAAACATCATCAACGGTCGGTCTGAGCAGAGGCATGAGGTGGTGGGAAAGGACATCAACACAAAACATGTTAGAGATCCGCTCCGCCCAGCATCTTGTTGATTCCTTGATGAATGCTGGAGATCGATTGGTTGTTGTTGATTTCTACTCGCCTGGTTGTGGTGGCTGCAAATCTCTTCACCCCAAGGTGTGTATATATATTTGTGCGTGTGTGTACAATACAATGCTTACAAATTGGTAGATCATCTGGTGAACTTTTAGTCAACCCTTTGGATCAATTAGTTCGTTGGTATCGCTGAAACAGTTGGTGAACGTTTCGTATTATCCAAATGCAAAATCAGATATGGATTCGTATCTGCATTTCCATACGGATTGTATGATGGACCAGTGTTTTTACGCTCGGTTTAGATGCCATTCAGCTTGAAAACTCTGTTTATGTCACCGATTCGGTTGCGGATCTGAATAACTTAGTTCGTGTTTTTTTTAATGTTCTGTATTGACAGATCTATCAGTTGGCTGAATCAAACCCGGGTGTGCTGTTTCTGAAAGTGAACCAAGAAGAGCTCCGAGCAATGTGTCACGGCCTCAACGTTCATGTGCTTCCATTCTTTAGGTTCTACCGAGGAGTCGATGGCAAACTCTGCAGCTTCAGCTGCACCATAGCCACCGTAAGCAATTCCCGTACCATTCCACCAAATATGAGATTTCATGTTTCCAAGAAACAATCCGCGTTACATTGCTGTATTGCAGTTTTGATACTGCCGTCACAACAACCGATTTTTCTGTGGAAAATGCAGATCAACAAGTTCAAGAACGCGCTCGCCAAGCATGGGAGCGAAAGATGCAGCCTCGGGCCGGCAAAGGGTCTGGAGGAGAAGGAGATCTTAGCCTTGGCATCCGCAGGCGAGCTGCCGACGAGTCCGGAGCAGCTGCAGCCGTCCGAGAAGGAGATAACAGTGCAAGATTTCTCGGCTCAATCTGGGAGTTTCTCTGGTTTATTCAGGGAAGCAGAGGAGCAGCAGCAAAAGGTGACTCTTTAGGGTTCATTCGTCCTGAGAATTGGTAAATGTAATTATTTGGGTTCTCCTTTGGTATTGGGGGGGTGATCTCTTTTTTGTTCCTTCCCCATCATTGCCTTGCCAGATCTCCTATTGAATCCCCGCATTGGATGATCATGTATCTGAAATTAGAGTGATGATGTCATTACTCACATTCAAGAATATATAGTAATCAAGATTGTTGCTTCAACTTTGTATCAGAAAACATTGGATAAGGGATATTGAAATGAAACCCAATTCATAAACCCCAACTTTTTTTCTTAACTTGAGAAAGATCCGAACTGAAAACATTGAGAAGGAGAGGATTTGTCTTTTTCGCAACAGAGATGATGTTCCCAATCATTAAAAAACAAAGAGATAGGTATCTGAGATCCCTGTCTGTTTTATCCTTCACTTGAAAAAACCAGACAAAATCAACATCAATGACACACACGCAAACGAAGAGGCTCTGAGAATCTCTCCAAATCTGACCTTTGTACTGTTGACAGTGTAATAAAATATATAGGGGATGTAGCTCAGATGGTAGAGCGCTCGCTTAGCATGCGAGAGGTACGGGGATCGATACCCCGCATCTCCACTTCTTTTCAGTTTTGCCTGTTTTTTGGGCATTTCGGCAAATGCTTCCCCCCCTCCCCCACATTTCAGAGTTACTGTTTAATCTTCTTCTGCTCTGCGTATCAGAGAAAAACGAGCTAGCAGCATCGTTGTATACCGGCATTAACCGAACTAAACCGGTGATTTCTTTTCGGTTTGCAATTGTAGTGGGATGCTCTCGTGGTTGGAACTTGATACATTTTGGTATAAATATAAAAAAAAAATTCAAAACTATTACGAACAATCTTGTCATATTTGGCCCCTTGATCAGATTCCTTGGGGCAACAGGACCCTGCAGCCTTCGATTGTTTGGTTTCCAAGGTGCATCCCCCGGTACTCTCTTCTCCATTGGCAGGTAATGCTATCTCGACTTCCGACGTTGGATCGCCTGCAGCGTTGGGGGACAGTAACGGATGCAAAATGCCGCCTATGTGAGGTATGAGAGGAATCACACCATCACTCATTTTTTTAGTGTCTCTATAGCAGCCAACTTTGGCAGCATTATGACGTATTATGTTGGCCCAGACCTCCCCCCAAAAAAAAAATCTTGTATATATGTCATATCTAAAACATGAAATGAATTCAGAGGAAAGAGTCGGAGATTATGTTCATCCAATGAGATACCGATTCTATACCATCACCACCACCACCCTCCAAAAATATAGAAATTACATTAAAAAAAAAAAAGCCTTGAATTTTCAAACATATTAACATGCGCTCCCAATCTTCTTTGGGCATTTAACAACATCACCGCAAACTTCGTCTAAGCCGCCGTCGCCGTCGCCGACCACCTCCTTCCTCTTCGGCTTCGCCTCTTGAAGCATCATGACGACGTCTCTCATGGGCGGTCGGTCCGTCGGATTTCTGTTCGTACACGACAACGCGATCCTCAGCATCTGTTTCATCTCCTCTCTCACGACGTGGCACGAGCCGCCGACGCTTTTGTCCAGGATGTCGTCCGCGCCGTCCTTCGTCTTGAGCTTGGATCTCACCCAATCCACGACGCTGTTGCCTTCTCCGAACTCCGCGTCCACCGATCTTTTGCCCGTTATCATCTCCAGTAATATCACCCCGTAACTGTATATGTCGCTCTTCTTGTCCACTTGTAGAGTATACGCGTACTCTATATTAAAAACAAAAAATACAAATTGTTAATATATATTTATATATTTATTTATATCATTGTTTGTTAAAAATAAATGAAAAATAAAAAAGATGCCGTACCAGGGGCGATGTAACCGTAGGATCCGGCGACGACGGACATGGACTCGTCGGACTGGATCAGCTTGGCGACGCCGAAGTCGGCCACTCGAGCCTCCATCTCCGAGTCCAGTAGTATGTTGCTCGGCTTCAGGTCTCTGTGTACGATCACTGGCTCGCAGTCGTGGTGGAGATAGCTGATCCCCTGCGCTACGCCCACCGCGATCCTGTGCAGCGCCGTCCACTCCGCCGCCGCCGCCTTCTCTCCGGCGTGGAGGAGCTCGTCCAGGCTTCCGTTCCGCATGTACTCGTACAGTAGCATCGTGCACTCCCTGTTCGAGCAGCACCCGAGAAGCCGTACGATGTTCCGGTGACGGACGTTCCCTAGAACCTCCACCTCCGCCAGTGCTCCGCCGTTGCGCCGCCTGATCTTCCCGTTCTCTTTGTTCTTCCCCCAGAGCTTCTTCACGGCGATGATTTCTCCGTTCGGCATCTCCGCCTTGTACACGGTTCCGGTGGATCCCATCCCGATGATGTTGTCCGTCTTCGACAGGCATTCGACGACGTCCTCCGCCGTGAAATTCAACCTCTGGAATGCGGTTAGCTTCCACGGCCCGATCTCTCCGCCTCGCCGGCCGTCGATTCCGCCTCCGTAGCTAGCCTTGAAGCACCTTGTCGCCGCGACGAGGACGAAGAATCCGATCCCCATCGCCGCCGCCATTATCCATACGATGGCTCCTGCTGTCGTCTTGGGCTGTGGCTCCTTACGCCGACCGCCGAGATTCGCTTCGCCGTCTCCGGCGGATCCCGAGGCGCAAGGCTTCGCCAGAACATCGCCGCAGAGTCCCTCGTTGGAGGAGAAGAACGACGGATTCAGGTTGGCGAACGAACCGGCCGGAATCGGCCCGGTGAGCAGATTATGCGAGACATTGAATGTCATGATCGTCTTGGAGTTCCCGAAATCCGACGGGATTGTTCCTGTGAGAAGATTGTGAGAGAGATCGACGTCGGCAATCGACGGAAGCGTTGAGATCTCCCATGGAATGATTCCGGAGAGCGAATTCCGGCTGAGATTCAAACACAGGAGCTTCTCGCAATGTCCAATGTCCCACGGGATCGTCCCGTTCAAGGAATTCCCCTGCAGCTCGATCCTGTAGAAGCTCTTGCATCCAACGTAACTAGGGATTTCCCCGATCAAATCGCTGAAACTCGCAGTTAAGATCTGCAAACTTGGCGCGCTCCATATGTTCCCCGGTAACCTGCTGTGGAAGGAATTGCTAGAGAGGTTCAAGTACTGAAGAACAGGGGCTCCGGCGAAATCCACCGGAATCTCGCCGCTGAATCTGTTGTTGCTCAAATCAACGAACGTAAGGTTGCGGAGAGAACCGAAGCCGAGAGGAATCGAGCCATTTAGACGGTTGTTCTGAATCCGAAGCCTCCAAAGAGAAGTGCAATTCGTCAAGCTCCTCGGCAACTCGCCATTGAACATGTTGGAGAAGAGGATGAGCTTGAAGAGCGCGTTTCCATGGCAGAGCAATGGCGGAACTGTCCCTGTAAACGAGTTATTCGAGACATCCAGCACCGTGAGCTTGCCGTTTGATCCGAGCTTCTCCGGTAAAGCTCCGGTGAAGTTGTTGTTCCAAAGAAGCAATGTGCTTAGCTCCGGCAGTTCTCCGATGCCATGTGGGACTTCCCCGGTGAGATTGTTGCTGATCAAGCTCAGCCATGTGAGCTCCTTCAAACCAGAAAACCCTTCTGGAATACTTCCAGAAAGCTGATTACTTGACAAATCCAGAGACTTTAGAGCTCTCAAGTTGCCGTAACTCGCCGGAATCTCGCCGGAGAAGTTGTTGTCGAAGAGATACAAAGTTTCAAGCTTGGAAAGGTTGCCGAGTTCTTGCGTCAGAGTGCCCGAAAGGCTGCAATTCGAAACGTCCAAGTACTTGAGATTCGACAGCAACGAGAACTCCATTGGTATGCTTCCGGTGAATTGATTATACCCAATCTCCATGTGTTGGAGCTCTGGTAAGAACCCTAATCTTGGTGGCAAACCACCCTCAAGAACGTTTCCAGCCAGGTTAAGAAACTTCAATCTCTGTAAACCTCCATAGCTCGGAGGAATCTCTCCCTCGAAGTAGCTTCCACCGAAGTTAACCACTTCCAAGAAACGAAGACGGGCTACTTCCTCGGGCAATCGGCCATCGAAGTTGTTGCTGAAAGCGTCGAGCACTCTCAAGAACTTGAGCTTGGAGATCCCGGGAGGGAAACTCGAACCGAATGAGTTGTGACTGATATCGAGAGTCATAAGCTTGTAGAGCTCGAAAACAGAGGTGGGAAACGAGCCGTCGAGGGAATTGCCGCTAAGATTCAAGTGAAACAGGCCGGACAAGTAACGTATCTCGTCCGGGACACGACCGGAGAGGTTCCGGCGAGATAAGTCAAGGGAAGTGACTCGAGCCGTCACATTGTCGCACTCAACACCCGACCACGAGCACCAAACCGCATCACCATCCGCAGCCGCAGCCGTAGCCACGTCCCAGTCAAGGAATGCGGAAGGAGAGCCTTTAAGAGACGTTTTAATGGAGATCAGAGACACGAGTTCAGGAGGGAGCTTAGGCTTAGTAGATAGAACAAACCCGGAAAACAAAAAGAAAGGAAGAAGGAGAAGAGAGGGGTAGTAAAGATTCGTGTTCATGGTTGAGAGAGAAGACAATGGAGGAGGAAGGGAGGTGATGTCTTCTTGGATGGAATTAGGGTTTACAGAGATGGATATAAGAGAGGAGGAGGTTATGGAGATGGAGATGGAGAGGAGTCATGATGAAGGTGATGATTGTGGTGTGCGTCTCCGGTCTCGCTTTTGATGGTTGTGGCATTATGATGATGAAGCATATATTTTTTTTTTAGCAAAGTAAAAAAAAAAAAACCACTCCACACTCACACAGTGACTCCCACTTCCATGGTATCTCTATCTATCCCTATACTCAAAACCCTTCTCTCTCTCTCTCTCTCTCTCTCTGTTACTTTCTCACAAAGTAAACTGCATATGCATCTTAATCCTGTCCCTTTTTTATTAATATATATGTAAAATACGAAATTACAATTTTTTTAATCTTGAAAGATTATATAAATATTTATAATATTTATTAATCATAAATTAGAAAACTGTTTTTTATTTGTATAGAGAATTGGATAGCAAACCGTTTCCCGGGTTCCACATATGTTTAGCTTCATCATTTTCTAATGCCTTTACATATCTTTCTTTTACTTTTTTTGTTGTCTCCTCATTCGTTTATTTTACTATGGAAGACAAGACAAAATTGAATTTTGGTGGGAATGTATTCACACATGCGCATGCTTATGTATGTATGTATGTATACATATATATGTACATTATGCATGTGTATATGTATATATATGTACATTATGTATGTATCTCTAGGTGTGTGTGTGTGTGTGACAGGGGCTGGATTTTTTTTTGTTCCATCACAGGATCCAATAAAGCTATCTTCTGATCTCAGTTTCCCCACTTCCCCCCAAATACCCCACTATATATAATAATAAAAACAAAAGATCTAAAATGAAAATTATAAAATTAAAAGAACATACCATTTTGGCGCCCAAAATATTTAAGATGTAATCTCAATTCGGCGTCAGACACACACACACACACACATATATATATATTTCATTTATATTATATATAATTAGCAATGTGGGTTTTATGAAACTGATTACATAAATATTAAGAAATTAAACCCAATTTAAATAGGGTTAATACCAATCTTCAAATCAAAGTCTATTATTGTTCGTGGATAAACATTTCCAACCTTTTTTCTTATATCTTCATAAACTACAATAGAATCCAAAATCTGACTTTTTAATATCAACACTATATAATATAAATTGAATTCGGTGCGTTACTAATTTTTTTCAATTTAAAATCCTCTCCTTTTTTTTTTTGCTGGCTGTAGAATTTGACTTAACGATAAGCTTTTGTCATGATATCCGATTCTCCTTTTTTTAATCATGAAGGTTGGTTAAAAGTAATATCTTTTTTTTTTAGCTCTTACGATAAGAATTAAATATCATCATTATTCTTGAATTAATCATGCTAAATAATTATCATCAACGTATACTTAAAGACCCCGTGAACATAATATACCATTCACGAAAACGACATGTGATCTATTTTATCGTATATAAGCGCTTGAGATAACTATTACAAAGAATTATATTTAATATTAAATATTTCAAATTTGATTTGGTTATATAGTCGAAAATATATTTGTTATATTCTACTTTCTTCGGGTTGAAATATCTTGTACTCGAAGAAATTTATTTTCTTTTGATATATTACTAATAACAACAACTTAATCCATAGTACAAGGACAAATTTTTTTTTTTAAAAAAAATTATAACACAATAATGAACCAATTGATGAATCTCATGGTAATGAACGAACTAGGATGGTCATTTTAATTAAGTATGGTCTTGCATCTCTAGATATACATTTATGAGTTTTTGGGTCACCTCTCTCTCTCTCTCTCTCTCTCTCTATATATATATATATATATATATATATATATATATGTGTGTGTGTGTGTGTGTGTGTGTTATGGAGTTTATATTTGTGCTCCATTTCAAATCTAAGCAAGATACTCCCCCTTTTGTCTCCCACGTACCCGCCTCTCACTCATCATCCTTACCACTAAACAAAAGGGAGTCGCGCAACAACTATATATATGTGTGTGTATATATATATATATATATATATTATATGTATGTAGTAACATATACATTTACGTGTTACGTATAATTTTTTCATATAGGCATTTGAAAAAATAATGTATAAATCACCGTGTAGACAACAAACCTTATGTCTAGTTATTATGGTGTATATACGTGTATATATACACACACCATCATCGGGTCGATTCGTATATTATACACGTCTTTTTCCATATTGGAATTTTATTAAAGATTCAGTTATTGAATCAGTAAATGAATTAAACCCTAATAAAATTGGAATAAAATCTTTACACGGACTCTAATGTTTTGAACTCACACGGCAACACAACACAAACACACAAATAGCATCCTTTACTCAAATGGAAGAGAAGAATGTCGGTCGCTAAAGAGTAAGGCACTGAAAATTTTGAACATACGAAATTCATAAATAAATAAATAAATAAAAAGAATTCCCCACATTCGTCCTTCACTCGACGGACCATTGCCACATTGGCTTAGATTACATATAATTTTAAATCATTATATTCATGATGACATTTTCCTCTCAAGATTTACAAAGAAAGAATATTATTAAAACGTCCCTAGCTAACACACATCTCCAAGAGAAAGTGCATTCGTTCTTTTGGAATGGGAAAAAAAAGTCGTTTATATATATATATATATATATATATATTTACTGTAATTAATTAGAATTTCATAAAGATTTTAGCCGTTTCGTGAAACGTTTTTCGAATAAAATTTAAAAATACAGAGTAAATAATGAAGAATCTTCGTAGGCATGCATGCGCCTTCTTTCGCGCATGGCTTTTCCACGACAGGAGTATGGATATGGCATGTTTTCCATTTTTAAATATTACGGTTTTACCCCTCTCTTTTTGTTACCATATTTCCATCGTTTTTGTTCTTCACGTACTCATGTTTACATTGTTACAGATAATAATTGCATGGTGTTAATTGGGATTTAAGGGAATCGAATTTAAAATAGGTAAAATGGAACAAAAAAAAATTATGAAATGTGACAAATTAATACCTAAACTAAAATTTTTGTCTGAAAAAATTACTCATCGATCTTAACATAAAAAACTCTTTCGTGCTGACGTGTCATACAAATTTGCTCGTGAATTTCAGACGTGATTACGTGTCATTTGATCCGTGCATGCGTAGCAAGTCTACAGTTGACCATCTAAAATATTGTTATGAAAATTTTCAAATCTGATACAAAAATTTGTAAATTTTCTAAAAAAAAAGTTATATATATTCGAGGTGGTGTACACAAAAATATGTGAATTTCCACATTCATGTATGTTTTGCATATGGTTGGTTTTGTGAAAATGTAGGAAGATGGTTTTCTTTTCTTTTTTTTTTTATATTCCTTCTAATTGTAGAAAAAAGTGGAAAATTTCTTTTTTTGGGTAAAAAAATTGTTTACCGAAGGTAATTAAGAAAAAAAAATTACCAAAAGTGTTTAAGGGAAACATCAGGTAGAAAACAAAAAGAAAATGGTCATAGGATGATATATATTGTTGTTAGGTTTTCTCCAAAACTCATAATCATTGTTCTCTAACTACTATGACACCCTCGTGATTCTTCTATTATTGTAACAATAAGATATTAAATTTTATGCAAGGGTGGTTGACTCAATTGGTAAGTGGGGTATGCTCGAACCCTACCCTTGGTAAATCACATGTTATAAAAAAAATATTAATTTTTTTTAGGATTTATAGTTTAGGGTTAGAAGGAAGTGAAAATTTACCAAAACCACAACTTTATATTACATTCAACAAAATTAAATACTAATTGGTAAGTGAGCATGTCTCGCTCCAAGTCCGATTAGTCATGGATACATAAGACATCAGACATCGTAAGACGGTAATTTATCCCAAAAAAATGTATATTGAAACAAAGGTACGATGAATTTCCAGATTATCAAAAAATATAATAATAAAACTCGTTTCATGTGATAGGTTTCCGATAAGTAAAATTCTGGTCCGACCCTTTTTATCTCGAACTTGTCTAATAAAAAGATCAGAGTAACATTGTTTTAGTATTGAGATTTTGAAGAAAGCATTTCGTTCTGAAACTTTAATTACTAATAGATTTGGAATTGTTTTAAAAGCTTAGTTTGCCAGTTTATAAATTTTGAAATCGTTTATTTATCCTTTTGACAATTGAATTGGTTGGACTAAAAGTTTAGAATCGGAATTAAATTGAGATAGTTCTATAATTGGGATTTCATATTGTATGATATTATATCGGACGCTTGTGTTTTTTTTTTTGGGAAATATACATTTTAAGCTACACAATAAAAAAAAAAAGGTAGTAAAGAAAAGATGTAAGGTTCCACAAAGAGAATGATGAGAAAATTGAACATGCTTCAAAAGTGAAACAAAGATGGAGAAATAAAGAGAGAATGAAAACGATTGATGGGATCCACGTAATTTTATTTTTTGAGACCGCATTATTATCGAATTCTAATATTATATATATAT